AGGCTTGCTTGGCACAGCTTTCTGCTCCTGCTTTGGTTTTGCCGATTCTTCGGCCGAAAGATGCTGATATCTGCGATTAAGCATTTTTTCGCAGTCAGCCCAAAGCGGCAGCTTCTCATAATCGAGCTGTTCTTCCCATTTTTGTTTGGTCACAGGATCGACTCTGTTCAAGACGAGATGAATAAGCATTGCATTCGAGATCTTTTGGTCATCGCCTATCGACAACAAGGAACCATATATCGATGAAGTGGTATCGATTAGGTTCCTTAAGGACGATGCAGATTGCTGGGTCATTTTGGGAAGACTAAATAGGGCAGCAATATGGTTCATAAAGATCAGACATTCGTTATCATAGATCCGTTTTAAGCTAGCCATGGCTTTCTCATAATTGCTCTCGGTTACTTGGAACGCCCTTACCGTTCCCAACGCTTCACCAGAGAGGCATGAAAGCAAATGGTTAAACTTTTCGATAACTGGAATGCTTTCGTCATTGTGAACAAGTGTCTCAAATAAAGTAATGAAGCCTTTGAATTCCGAATATTTTCCGCTGAACTTTGGCAGGGCTAACTTCGGAAGTCGAGCACGAGTTGGGGCTACAGAAGTTGATACTGAAGGTATTGTATCACTGGCTGTCTTCAAGGCGTCGATAAGCGACATTATCTTTGCCTTGGTTACAATCGAGAGTTCTTCCAACTCGGCTCCAAAGTCATCGTCACTATCTATTTCTTCGATTGATTCTTGAACTTGGCTTGCCTTGGCTATAGTTGCTTTCAGTACGTCGAGTCTGCACTCGAGCTCTGTCAACTGCAGCGGAATCTCCCCAGCTTCCAGCCGGTCCGCTAGTCGGCGAATGCCTTTGACACGGGAGCTGAGCTTCTTTTTTAGCTCTTCAAGAATAGGCTTATGATCTGATTTGGGATTCATCTTGACTCTCGATACTTAAGTGAATCACTAATCAGGGCTGTTCTCACGATAATATTATTTGCTGCGGCGCAAAGTGTCGACACAGGAAGGTGTACCCAAATTAGGTCGAAAGAAATATACCCGGCGACTAGAGGGTATCGCACCACTTAGCGATCGGTTTAATACGGACCTAGGGTGTTGAAGCCAAATGAGGCGAACAATCGATATAACCGACGATTAAAGGGTATCGAGGCAATTGGCGATCTGTTTAAGATGGACCTAGGGTGTCGATGCCAAATGAGGCGAAAAATCGATATACCCGACGATTAAAGGGTATCGAGGCACTTGGCGATCTGTTTACGCAGGCGTGCCAACACAAAACACACAAGAACAACAACAAACAGCAACGGTGACAAGCGAAAGCGAAAACGAAAAATTCACCGCTGAAGCTGTGAACATATGCACATGTGTGTGTGTCTAAGCTGTGTTGGCGCTTGTGTATGCTGGGCCTGGCTGACCGACCGATAGACACCCAATTGAATTTCGAGGCACGCTTTGACAAATTGACAGTTGGATCCTTTGCACTAAAACTATATACCCGACGATTACAGGGTAGCGCGTCGCTTGGCGAACGGTTTGACTTAAACGCGCCAAACGAACACACCAACAACAACGACGGTCAGCAACGGTGACGAGCAAAAGCGGGAACGAAAATTCACCGCTGCAGCTGCTACGTTGGTATGTGTGCGCTTGGCCAATGACCCAACTATATATTTGCGCAACGAAAACGAGAAAGGCGGAAAGGGGCGACAGTGATTGCAGTTACAAATTATATGTATATGTTCTGCGTCCAAGATGGTATGATGTATGTGAATATGTGATATATGTAATATATGTACAAACTCTACTAAATACATGCAATCTAGCTCTACTATGTCATACGGATGTGCCAAGAATTGAAAGCGAGGTGCACTTATTTTAGCACAAGACAGTAACTACGAGATTTTAATGATTTTGTCTTTACTCGAGCTTTCAATTTTTTGCACAAATACCTCTAGTATGTATGTAATAAGATCCTGGGAATTCCACTTTCCTTGGCAGGTGGCAAATGTCTTTTGGAATGGATATCCCTCGGTGGTTGAGAGGTATTTTTGTTGTATGTTTGTTAGCCGTCCGTCGCGGTAGTTTTAGGTGTGTTATTTGGGGGGTTGATCTTGCACACACACGCGACGCGGGCAGGTGTATATTATATACACTTAAATATTCAATATGATTTACATATATTTTGTTCACCACTCGTGTCACTGTCACTTTCTGCCTTGAAAGGCATGGCTAAAGGCGGGCTAATATTGAAACCATTACTAAATTTAAATCTTATTTAATGACAAAGTTTAAAATGGCAGATCTCTTAGATATTCGATACTTTATAGGGAGTCGCTTCTGGGGACGCGACTCTACTTATACCCGTACTCAGTCAGTATATACATTTTTGAGCATATGATTTTTTAGAATTTTAGAATTAATAAAAAAAATGTTTACATTTAACATTATTTTGCTACATCTTTTATCTACATCTGTTACATTCGGCTTGCGGCTCGTGGGGCAACGCCGACAAGCTCTCGACCCCAGGGATGGTTAGTTCCCCTTGCCCGACAAATGTAAGCAAAGTTTGAGATTTCGACTTCTCGGGACATCAATTCAGACAATAAAACTACAATAGACTGCAAGACAAACAAAAAGAACCAAACAAATAGACGGCTGTCAAGTGGGTGAAGTCTAGGTGTTTCCACTTCGCGCGCCCACCCTACCTGTGGTCAAATACAACGTTCATTTTGGCCACCCTCTGCTGGAACGGCTGCGGCTGGTCTAATCCATGGCTTACGCCACGCGTCCTCCCTCTAAATTATTTTAGGCCTTCATGTTCTTTCAATATTCCTTAGTTTAATACGTAATATAATACGACAAATACATCTCCTAACTATAATTTTTCTTCCTAGATAATAAACAATAATAATTTAAATAAATAACATAACAAAACGAGAAGGAACGTGCGAGTCGCTTCTGGGGACGCGACTCTACTTATACCCGTACTCAGTCAGCATATACATTTTTGAGCATATAATTTTTTAGAATTTTAGAATTAAAAAAAAAAAATTTTACATTTTACATTTTTTTGCTACATCTGCTATCTACATCTCATCTACAATGTCTATTCTACATCTAACATGTAGATTGTACATGTTCCATTCATATTCTACATCTCCTCCGCTAGGGGTTGCTCGCGCACTGAACGCGGCAGAGTGTGCGAGCGAGAAGGAAAATGAGTTGCGTTGTCGTTGTCGGGAGGGGGAGGTGAAGCAACTGAAAATTTCTTCATTCTGGCTATAATTATGATCCGATCTGATTGAGATTCGGCAGTCTGGTAGATATGGTCATTCTCTACGATACTGCGTTTTTAGTTTTATCGTATCTTTAAAAATGTGCCTGCTACAGATTTTCGTCTTTTGTGGGGGCGGAAGGGGGCGGGGCGAAATTTTGAAATACACTTGTAGCAGTGGGATATCACATAAGTCTGGAAACCAAATTTGGTTGCCATAGCTCTTATAGTCTCTGAGATCTAGGCGCTCAACAAGACAGACAGACGGACAGACGGACAGACAGACATGGCTATATCGACTCGGCTATTGATGCGGATCAAGAATATATATACTTTATGGGGTCGGAAACGTTTCCTTCTCTGCGTTATACACATCCACTTTTACCACAAATCTAATATACCCCTTAACTCTTTTTTGAGTACGGGTATAAAAAATACCAACTCACTTAACGACAACACTCAAATAAATACCAACTGGATTAGGAGAATATACCTATGTGCGTAATGGGCGTTTTTATGCAGAATTAAATTGGGAAAGGATTTAAATTTCTTTCGGCCCTCCCGAGACTAACCTACCAAGAGCTCTTGTTAAGGGTCATAGGGGCAGATATAAACAAGGCCATCGACAACAAAAATTACCAAACAATATTTCACCAAAACGGTGGGCTTGTGGGACCCCGCGCCGCGCACAAGTGTTAATCCTACCATATGTTTTGTTTTGTGTCTATGTCGGGCAATGTTTGGCGTTTACAAAAGTGTTTGTTTACGTTAGGGTTTGCTTAAATTACTAATAAATAACAATTAACACATATAATAGGGACAACACGATGGACAATACGAATACTGTCGGGCACATATGTGTCCGTAGCGGCTTGCGAGGAGTGTGAGGAACAATTCCCAAAAAAAATATATGTACTGTGGGCGATTGTCGGTCTGCCAATATGTAGGTGCAATAGTGAGTGTAAACGTGAGTGCAAATCCTTAGGTGATCGTAGAGGTGGCTCCGGCAGAGTCCAACGGCTCGGACTACGTGTACCACTGCGTCTGCGGCTTGGTCCTTGGTCACTCTAAGCGGATCGTTCGTTTGACCTGGTTAGGCATGCATCCTCACAAATCTCGGCTTCATACACGGCACAAAATAACAGGCACGGAACGGACTCACAATTTGGTTTCGACGGTCGGCTCATCTGGCACATCCTCTCCAGAAATTATCTCCCTCGGGCAAAATCACTGACCCGGCTGCGCTGGGCAATCTTCCGGGCCAGGCTAAGGGAAACACACCGCGGGTTAATTTCCGTTTAAATGTAAAATTTTCACCACTCACTTTTTGAAAATTCCACTAATCGGGTTTAACCCCACTCGGCCTAGATTCTAGCTCTGCTATACATTAGTGCCTCCGCTTCGGATGACCAGCAATTCTTATGTCCACGTTTTAGATTTTTTTCACTCCTATTTAATCCCTCTCACGCATGCCTGCCTTTACCAATACACCTAACTAATCCTATCCTCTGTCCTACACCATAGTCTCCTTGGAAAACCTTGGACTCAGCCCTGGACAATCTATCGCTGAGGTGGGACTGGAACACCACCACGAGTATGTCGACGGACCTTTGAAAGGACAACATACGCGTGGGCATGCCCACCGGATTAAGGGTTACTCTCGACCACATGCCGGCGTGCCTTCTTCTGCAGCGCCCAACATAGTAGAGGTGGAGAAACATCGATGAAAACATCGATGCATCGATGTTTTTAAATTTTTTGGAAACATCGATGCTTTGTGGCAACCATCGATGTTTTTTCCGCGACACTAAAGTAAAGGAAACGCAGAAGGTATGTGTAAAATATATTTATAAATTGAACTATTTACTGTATTTAGATGTTTTCAGATATTCAATTGGTGGTGTAGGCAACGTCGGTGGATGTGTGGCAATGGAAAACTTCCTAAACCGTAAGTATTCATAGAAGTAATACACATGACAACTTTGAGCCACTTATACCTTTTGCAAATGTTAGGAACAACTAATGAAAATTGCGAGTCTCTGGCTCCTGCTACGAAGAGGAAGCGCGAGACCTCGGACGTGTGGCAGCATTTCAAGAAAACGGCCGATAATAATAAAGCAGTATGCATTTACTGCGGAAAAATGCTTAAGACAGGTGGAAACACTACCAACTTGTGGGACCATGTACAGAGGATTCATCCAAAGAAAGCAACAACAGACAAAGTTTCTGAGCCAACGAAGTTGGATGCGTTTGTGTTGCGAAGTGTCGAGTATGTTTATGTTTATCAATAAGAACCAAACCATTTTTTGTTTAACTTATAGAATAAGTTTTGAATTTTTTTTGCTTTTACGAATAAAGCTTTTAATTTTGTTATGAAATGAACCAAATCTTTTCAATTAAATCAATTTAATTTTTTTTTAAATTGAATTTAGAGCAAAAAAAAAATTGTTTCTATTTATTTAAAACATCGATGTTTCATCGATGTTTTTTTTGAAAACATCGAAAAACATCGATGTCCAGGAACATCGATGTTTCTCCACCTCTACAACGTAGGCCACACCCACATCCAACTAGAGTCTCAAGTCTTTTGCGTGGTAGACTCCAATGGGACGACCGTTGAGATCCTCCAGAACATATGCGTTCTCTCGTACTGGCTTCACTACACGGCATCGGACGAACTTGCGCGCGAACTTGGCATTGAAGCATTTACCGAAGTCGCTTAGGACAAAATTACGGCGGAATACCTCTTGTCCAGGCTTCGCATAAAACACCCGAGCTCTCTGGTTGTACCTCAAGCTACTACGTTCGTACGCGTGATGCCGACTATCTCGAATCCTCTCCTGAATGAGTTGTCGCTTGTCCTGACTCTCTAGCAGAGATATGTCATGCTCGCCGATGGAACGCAAACGTTTCGCCAGCTTATAGCATGATCCATGCAAATACATTTGCTGTCCGAAGACCGCAAAGAACGGAGTCACGCCTGTCGCCTCATGAACTGAGTTCCTTATGGCCAACTCTATCTCCGGAAGATGTACGTCCCAGTCCCGGTGATCGTCCTCCAATACATACGAATCGCGCTAAGAACAGTACGATTCACACGTTCGGCTGCGTTGCTTTGTGGAGAATACACTGGCGTCCTCAAATGGGTCACTCCAAACGCTTCAATCATCTCCCTGAACGTTTTGGAAATGAACTGAGCCCCATTGTCTGAGTGAATAGTCTCCGGCACCCCAAAGTTATAAAAGACTTCATGGACGAGGAACGCCACTACATCCTTCGCTGCGGCCGCTTTCATGGTCTTCAGGAAAGTGAATTTCGAGAAGTGGTCAACCACAATGAATATCCACGCTTGACCATTCTTTGAACGCGGATATTTCCCTAAGAAATCGATGTATAGCTTTTGGAATGGACGCTCCGTGATCACCTCCTGTCCAATCCCAATCTGCATCCGGTAATTCTGCGCTTTCGACTCCTTTCACAACGTCACAACGTCGGATGTAATCGCGCACTTCCACAGCCATTTTCGGCCAGTAAAATTGCCTACGCAGAAGGTGCAACGTTTTGGCAATACCACCGTGCGCCGTCTTTTCATCGAGATGCGCCTTGTCTATCAATGTGGCCGTCAGCGAACTCGGAACCCACAATTTCCAGACAGATCCCTCCAGTTGGTCATCTAACCTTTCAAAGCGCATTCGCTTGAATATCATTCCATCTACAATCTGAAGATCAGGTAAGCGTTCTTGATTCTCTCTGACTTCTTTCTTTAACTCCTGATATTCCTCAGACTCGAACTCCACCGTTTCGAAACCCAGGACACTGCTCGGATCCACTTCCAACTCTTCGATATTGCGGGACAATGTATCTGCACTACATTATCCACTCCTTTTCGGTGTTCTATGCCGAAATCGAAGGCTTGCAAATGAAGAGACCACCGAGCTAAACGACCATCCAAGTTCTTCATCGTCATGAGCCATTTGAGACTGGCGTGGTCAGTAATGACTGTGAACGGCATAAGCTCGACATACGGACGGAACTTCAGAATCGCCATGAGAGCGGCCAGACACTCTTTCTCTGTCACAGAGTAGTTTATCTGGTGGTAATTCAGCTTCGCCGAGAAGAATGCAATCGGCCTCTCGTTCTGCTCATCATCGCGTTGGAATAGTACGGCTCCTACCCCATAATGCGACGCGTCGCACTGGATGTAAAAGTGCCGCTTGAAATCTGCGTGTACGAGGACAGGTGCAGGTGCGGTAAGTGCAGCTTTCAGCTCTCCCACTGCTCGCTTTGCCTCATCCGTCAATCTAAATCTACCTTTTCCCGACTTTTTCAAGGCATCTGTAAGTGGAACGGCTAACTCTGCAAAGCTCTTCATAAAACGCCGATACCAACCCGCAGTAACCAAGAAACTACGCAATTCTCGGACAGATCGTGGCTCGGGTATGCGTAAAGTAGCCGATACACGATCTGGATCCATCTTGAGCGTTCCTCCTCCCACTATAAAACCGAGGTATTTAATGTTTTTAAAGCAAAAATGAGATTTCCCTAACCCTATCGTCAAATTTGCCTTCCTTAGTCGCTCTGCAACCTGTAGGAGGATCTTCACGTGCTGTTCGAAGCTCTCGGATATAATCAGCAAGTCGTCGAGGTATGCATATACATTTGAACGCATCTCTACCGGAATAACCTTATCCACTAATCTACATAGGCGTTGTGCTGCGTTGCAAAGACCGAAGGGCATCATCCGGAACTGGTATAATGGTCTTCCTGGCACTGTGAAAGCAGTGTAGGCTCGGCTCGGCTCGTCCAGCTCGATTTGCCCAAATGCGAATTTTAAATCGACGCTGGAGATGTATATCGTCTGGTCGAGACGCGACAAAATCCCCTCGATGCTAGGCAGTGGATAGGCGTCCTTGATGGTCACCTTGTTGAGCTTTCGGGCATCGAGACAGAACCGATTTTTGCCCGGCCGTCGCACAACCGTAGTGCGGTTGCTCCACGGGCTATCACTGTGCTCGATGACTCCTAAAGCCAATATCTTGTCCACCTCCACACAAACCACGTCCTGCATCGCTGGCGATAATGGATAATGTCGATCCTTTACAGGCTCGGCATTCTCCACAAGCTGGATTTTATGCGTCTCTATCGACGTCTTGCCCAGGCCTACCCCTTCAAATGTCAGAAATTCTGCCTTCACCTTATCCAAGGCGATTTTCTGCTCCTCCGACAACTCCCATTCCTCCTGCACAATTTCCTTCTCCGGTCCTTCTACATAGTGAGCGACTTGGTCAGCCATCACTTCTTCTACCAGTCTGTGTGATGCACCTACAGGACATTCTCCCATCACCTCAGGAGCCAATGCAAAAGCCCGCCAAAAGTCTACACCCAAGTAAATTTCCTGCTCCAAGAACGGACATAAGAAAAAGGTTAATCTCTTTATCTCTCCCTTATACTCCACAGTCAATTCGACTCGACCAACGATTGCGCGATCTTCTCCATTTGTCACCTTAACTATGGACGAATAGCGACGAGCCACTACACCCAGCTTCTCCAAGAACTCCTGGCCATTCTTGCCTAACATGCTGTGCGTAGCGCCTGAGTCCAACAACCCTCTAATAGATTCCCCCATTATCGAGATTCCAGCGAATACTCTTGGGTCGCTTTTGCTACAGCGCTGTACTGAGGCAATCACCTGTCTCCTCACCGATCGTCTCTGTTTAAACCGGGATCTTGCCTTCTTTACCCGAACTGACAGTGCTCGCATCCCATCCACCTTTAAGTCGGAAAATATTCTATTACGGACTTGTAAGTAATTTCTTAACCGCTCTTCATACGGTAAGTTCCTTAACCTAGCATGCAAACTATGTCTATCTATTTCATTCTTCTTATGTTCTACTTCCAGTTCGCAGGCCCCATCTGTAAGCGTGATTCGCCTGCTTGAATCGCACTCTTCTTCGCGTTTCCCGCACAATTCGGACAGGTCGGACAATACGCATCGGGCTTTCCACAGCGGTAGCAGAAGATTCGCCTCTCTGCTGCCATACAGTCCCGAAAACCATGATCCGTTTTCCCGCAGTTCCAGCAGGTCAACTTTACTGGACCACGCCTTGTCACTTGCGTCTCCTCACAGACTTCTGCCTCCTCATCGCTTCTCAACAGATCCTGCGCGACCTCATTGACGTTCGCTCCTCGGCCAAAGTTGGTGGCTTTTGGTGCTCCTCGCCACGAAGATCGGGACTTCCGCTTCAAGTGTGCCTCTATTTCCACGCATTCATCACGCAGTTGGTCTAGGGAGTACACTCGTAAGCCATACACGAAACTCGCTATCTCATCTGTGAGAGCCTTTTTCACAATCTTAATCATCTCGCTTTCAGGTGGTGGCGTCTCTACCCTCGAAGAAAGCTTCCTCATGGCATGAAAAAAATCTTCCACGCTCTCGTTTGGCCGTTGCATCCGTTCCCGCAGTTCTCTCATTCGGTCGAACTCGGAAGCTGTGCCTCGGAAACGTTTAACCAAATCATCCCTCAACTCCTGCCAGTTACCACCACGATGATCCCGTACGTATTGCCAATACCATTCCCGAGCGTTTCCCGTAAGCAGATGATGGAACCCCTTCATCACCTCATCCCAGGGACATCGCATTTGCGCCTGCAGGAATTCGACGAGAAAAACGAAATCCTCTACGGTCACCTTATTGGCGTCGCCATCGAAAGTCACGTCCCACTTCTCGACTCGGCCCCACCGAGTAATGGGCCCCGATCGGTAATGGGACGACTGTGGATGCTGCTCCTCACGTGGGCTGCTGGTTGTTCTCCCACCGGATCTTCTATTCCCGCAACGACCCGTACCTTGCTGTCTCGTTATCGGGTTTAGCCAATTTTGAGCCCGATGATCACCCCGTCGATGCTGGTCTGCAGATGCCGTCGCCCCTACTCCTGAAGACGGCTCCGG